CTATCAGCCCACCAGGACCCTAAGATCTTCTGGGGAGGCCCTGCTCTCTATCCCGCCTGCTTCACAGGTGCGGCTGGCGGGGACGAGAGACAGGGCCTTTTCTGTGGTGGCCCCTCGGCTTTGGAACGCCCTTCCCATGGAGGTAAGATCAGCCCCCTCGCTGATGGTGTTTCGGAAAAGATTAAAGACCTGGATGTTCGAACAGGCATTTGGTTAATTCGGTACAATGAACTGATGACTAAAAGACTGGTAATATGGACAATGAAATTGGATTATGATTTTAGTTAAGAGATGCATGGATTATTATTGACGGGTCAATATTGTATATTGTGTATTGTGTATGCTGTTTTTTATGGTTTTAAACTGAATATTGTTGTTGTTGTACTGTTGTAAACCGCGTTGAGTCGCCAATTTAGGCTGAGAAACGGCGGTATACAAGCACAGTAATAGATAAATAAATAAATAAATAAATAAACCATGAAAATGAACAAAATCTGGCTACCAGTATTAAAAAACTCTAAAATCATTACAGTAAATAAAGAATAATACTCATAAACAGGGGAATTCCAGACAAGAAACAAACAGGGACAGCTAATCACCACCCAACAGGCATGTAGCTGGGGGGAGGGGGGGGGACGGACTTTGGGGGCTTCAGCCCCCCCCTCGAAATTCTCATTACTTTTACATTATTTAAACTGTTATGTTTATTCATATCATTATCTGATCACCATGCTCAATATATCCCATATGCATGGGGGTATTGGGGTAATAATACAAAAGGTTTGCTAGGGTAGACCCTCTTTCACTCAGACTCAGCCCCCCCCCGAATCAAACTCACCCCCCTCCGAATAAAATCCTGGCTACGGGCCTGCCTCCCAACAAAGGATTCCGCCAGGCAGTAAGAAGCCACACCTTGAAACGGCTAGGCCATTAAATGCTAATTAAGGTGGCTAATTGAAACAGTCACACCTACCTCAAACAGACAAGAGTTCATTCTCCCACCTTGGACGTTCCACAGATATATAAATCCCATTTTCCTAGTTTAAAACAGACTTCACAACCTCTGAGGATGCCTGGGTACGGGCCTGCCTCCCAACAAAGGATTCTGCCAGGCAGTAAGAAGCCACACCTTGAAACGGCTAGGCCATTAAATACTAATTAAGGTGGCTAATTGAAACAGTCACACCTACCTCCATCAGACAAGAGTTCATTCTCCCACCTTGGACATTCCACAGATATATAAATCCCATTTTCCTAGTTTAAAACAGACTTCACAACCTCTGAGGATGCCTGGGTACGGGCCTGCCTCCCAACAAAGGATTCCGCCAGGCAGTAAGAAGCCACACCTTGAAACGGCTAGGCCATTAAATACTAATTAAGGTGGCTAATTTATTTATTTATTTATTTATTATTTGCACTTATTGACCGCCACTCTCAGCCCGAAGGCGACTCGTGGCGGTGTACAAAACATAGAACATACAGACGACAGTTACAGTAATCAGGTCCATAACACAACATCTTACTAACATACAACTACTTAACTAAAAATCCGCTTCGTCTTGTTTGGGTCATAATCGGTCTCATAGTCATAATCCATTCCGGTGGTCATTCCAAAACATAGCACTTAATTGAAGGCCTTTTCAAAGAGCCAAGTTTTCAGGCCCTTGCGGAAGGCCATGAGGGAAGGCGCCTGTCTAATTTCGGCAGGGAGGGCGTTCCATAGCCGGGGGGCCACCACCGAGAAGGCCCGCTCTCTAGTCCCCGCCAAGCGTGCCTGTGAGGCAGGCGGGACCGAGAGAAGGGCCTCCCCGGATGATCTCAAGGTCCTCGTGGGCTCGTAGGCCGAGATGCGGTACTCAAGGTATTTTGGGCCGGAACCGTTTAGGGCTTTGTAGGTTAGCACCAGCACCTTGAATTGGGCCCGGTAGCTGATCGGCAGCCAGTGGAGCTGGGACAGCAAGGGCGTTGTGCGCTCCCTGCGTCCCGCTCCGGTTAACAACATGGCTGCCGCGCGCTGGACTAGCTGGAGCTTCCGGGCCGTCTTCAAGGGCAGCCCCACGTAGAGAGCGTTGCAGTAGTCGAGGCGGGATGTGACCAAAGCGTGTACCACCGTGGCCAAGTCAGACTTCCCAAGATACGGGCGCAGCTGGCGCACGAGCCGAAGCTGTGCAAAAGCTCCCCTGGTCACCGCTGAAACCTGGGGATCCAGGCTCAGCGCTGAATCCAGGGTCACCCCCAAGCTGCGAACCTGCGCCTTCAAGGGGAGTGCGACCCCGTCCAGCACAGGCTGTAACCCTATACCCTGTTCGGCCTTACGACTGACCAGGAGTACCTCTGTCTTGTCTGGATTTAATTTCAGTTTGTTCGCCCTCATCCAGACCATTACAGCGGCCAGGCACCGGTTCAGGACTTCGACAGCCTCCTTAGTAGCAGGTGGGAAGGAGTGACAGAGTTGGACGTCATCTGCATACAGGTGACACCGCACCCCGAAACTCCGGATGATCTCGCCCAGCGGCTTCATGTAGATGTTAAACAGCATGGGGGACAAGATGGATCCCTGAGGAACACCACAGGTCAAAGGCTGTGGTGTTGAACAGGAGTCCCCCAACAACACCTTCTGGGTACGACCCTCCAGAAATGACCGGAGCCACTGCAACGCAGTGCCCCCAAGACCCATCTCCGCAAGGCGTCCCAGAAGAATACCGTGGTCGACGGTATCGAAGGCCGCTGAGAGGTCCAGGAGCACCAACAGGGACACACTACCCCTGTCTAGCTCCCCCGGCCATGAACGCCTTTCTCCCACCCTGGACTTGCCACAGATATATAAACACAATTTCCTAGTTTCCAACAGACTTCACAACCTCTGAGGATGCCTGCCATAGATGCAGGCGAAATGTCAGGAGAGAATGCTTCTAGAACATGGCCATACAGCCCGAAAAACCTACAACAACCCAGTGATTTCAGCCATGAAAGCCTTCGACAATACATAACTGCTAGGCCATTAAATGCTAATCAAGGTGGCTAATTGAAACAGTCACACCTACCTCCAACAGACAAGAGTTCTTTCTCCCACCCTGGACATCATTCCACAGATATATAAACCCCATTTTCCTAGTTTCCAACAGACTCCACAACCTCTGAGGATGCCTGCCATAGATGCAGGTGAAAGGTCAGGAGAGAATGCTTCTGGAACATAGCCAGACAGCCCGGAAAACTCACAACAACCCACTTCCTAGTTGTTAGAAGAAGAAGAACTTTATTTTTCTAACCCGCCTCCATCTCCCCAAAGGGACTCGGGGCGGCTTACATGGAACATACAATTAAAAGCAGAGCAATAACAAAATGCAATTTAAAAGCATAAAACAAACATAACAATAATAGACAAGCATCAAGCAACAAAAGAACTGGGGGGGGGGGGGAATACAGGCTGATTAAAGAGTAATGGGTTCAACAAGGTGGATGGAAATGTATAATAGCATAGGAAATATCATTAAAACAGAGCAATCTAACAGGATCAGAAATAATTCAGTTTGACTTACAAAATCTGAATAGTAATCTAATATAGGAAATTCAGGTTGAATGATAACTAGGTTGCGATACCGGTCGTATGTCATGGGGTTGTCAGTCAAATGCACAACGAAACATCCATGTTTTTAATTCCTTGTGGAATGTGGCTAGGGAGAGCGCCAGCCTGATCTCCCTGGGGAGGGAGTTCCAGAGACGAGGGGCCACCACCGAGAATGCCCTTTCCCTTGTCCCCACCAATCGCGCCTGAGACGGGGGTGGGAGTGAGAGAAGGGCATCCCCGGACGATCTTAAGGATCGCGTGGGATCATAGGGGAGGAGGCGGTCGCACAGATAGGCAGGTCCTGAACTGTTAGAGATGTTCCAAATGCCTGGGAATCTGGTAGAGCCTCCTTCTCTAGAGGGATTGGATGGTGTCTCCCTGCTTGCCAAGGGGTTGGACTGGATGGCCCTTGGTGGTCTCATCCAATTGTATGATTCTTCATCTTCCTACTGTTGAGAGTGGAATCTGGGATTGGAGAGATTACCAGAAAGTGTGTGTCCATGTCTCCCTGCTTGCCAAGGGGTTGGACTGGATGGCCCTTGGGGGTCTCATCCAATTGTATGATTCTTCAACTTCCTACTGTTGAGAGTGGAATCTGGGATTGGAGAGATTACCAGAAAGTGTGTGTCCATGTCTCCCTGCTTGCCAAGGGGTGGGACTGGATGGCCCTTGGGGGTCTCATCCAATTGTATGATTCTTCATCTTCCTACTGTTGAGAGTGGAATCTGGGATTGGAGAGATTACCAGAAAGTGTGTGTCCATGTCTCCCTGCTTGCCAAGGGGTGGGACTGGATGGCCCTTGGGGGTCTCATCCAATTGTATGATTCTTCATCTTCCTACTGTTGAGAGTGGAATCTGGGATTGGAGAGATTACCAGAAAGTGTGTGTCCATGTCTCCCTGCTTGCCAAGGGGTGGGACTGGATGGCCCTTGGGGGTCTCATCCAATTGTATGATTCTTCAACTTCCTACTGTTGAGAGTGGAATCTGGGATTGGAGAGATTACCAGAAAGTGTGTGTCCATGTCTCCCTGCTTGCCAAGGGGTGGGACTGGATGGCCCTTGGGGGTCTCATCCAATTGTATGATTCTTCATCTTCCTACTGTTGAGAGTGGAATCTGGGATTGGAGAGATTACCAGAAAGTGTGTGTCCATGTCTCCCTGCTTGCCAAGGGGTGGGACTGGATGGCCCTTGGGGGTCTCATCCAATTGTATGATCCTTCATCTTCCTACTGTTGAGAGTGGAATCTGGGATTGGAGAGATTACCAGAAAGTGTGTGTCCATGTCTCCCTGCTTGCCAAGGGGTGGGACTGGATGGCCCTTGGGGGTCTCATCCAATTGTATGATTCTTCATCTTCCTACTGTTGAGAGTGGAATCTGGGATTGGAGAGATTACCGGAAATTGTGTGTGTATATGGACAAGAGAAGCATTACCATCTGGGATCCGGCAAACCACGCTGCAGCCCGACGGGCAGCACTTCGCATTCCCTTGACAGTTGGCGTCCGACTGGCATTCTGCCGTGCAGTTCACGCTGGCCGTCACCACCTCTGTGTTTTCGGGGCAGGTGCCCGCTTTTCCTGTTGCAACTGCAAATGAAGGCAAAAGGGTTGGCATTGCTCTCGCAGGAGCTTCCCTGGACCGTTGGCATGTCGAGAGGGGAAAAGCCTGGCAAGGACAATGGCCAGGCTGGTTCCCTCTTGGCACGCCAACGGGTCAAGGATGCCTTTCCAAAAGATCCTCAGGAGGACGGGCAAAGCAGGAGGCTAGCCTGGACAAACCTCCCAGGAAAATGGATGAAAAGAGCATCCAGGTTCGGTTAGGCCTTCCTCTCCAGAGTGGAGCCAAGTTGGCTGGTGTTGTCCTCTTTCACCCACCTGTGACGTTGTTCTGCTCGGAGGCATCCACCTGCTGAACGCCAAAGATGGAGAGTGCCACAAGCGAGAGGAAGAGGAGCTGAGTGCTGCTGCTTTTGGGACTCCTGGGCTTCATGGCGATGGCCGGCCGAATGGGGCTCTACCTGCCCCAGGCCAAGCTTTAAGCTCTCCTTCCAGGTGTGACTTGGAGAGGGAGGGAGCGAGGAAGTGAGGAAAGACGAGAGGGAGCGAAGGAAGGAAGGAAGGGAGGTGATGAATAGAGAGAGAGAGGGAGAACAGGCCTCGCCAGGCTCCCTCCTTGAGAGATTGCCCAATGCGCAGGAGGACGGATCAGGTGTCGCAGGTGCAAACCAGGAAGTGGCAACCCACTCCAGCAGAGCAAAACCAGAGAGACTTCACACACAAGGATGTCACAGAACTTCGTCCTTGATTGCAAAATCCACAGGTGCCTTGGCTCAAGTATTTCCTGAGCTATGGAACTGAAATCTCTCTCCCTCTCCACACCATCTTCAAGAATGGGAGGACTAAAGGAAGACATGAGGAAGAACTTCCTGACTGTGAGAGCTGTTCAGCAGTGGAACTCTCTGCCCCGGAGTGTGGTGGAGGCTCCTTCTTTGGAAGCTTTTAAACAGAGGCTGGATGGCCATCTGTCAAGGGTGATTTGAATGCAATATTCCTGCTTCTTGGAAGAATGGGGTTGGACTGGATGATGGCCCAGGAGGTCTCTTCCAACTCTTTGATTCTATGAAATTTCTATGAAATTTACATCCCTTTGACCCTTCCTCCAACTGAGTCTTGGCCATTTGCAGGACGTCAGTGCCCATAATGGTCAGTTGGCATCTCTTGGTGATAAGGAGCCCCCAGTGGTGCAGAGGGCTAAACCTCTGTGCCGGCAGGACTGAAGACCGACACGTCACAGGTTCAAATCTGGTTCAAATCTGGGGAGAGCTCCCTCTGTTAGCTTCATGTGGGGACAAGAGAGAAGCCTCCCACAAGGATGGTAGAATATCAAAACATCTGGGTGAGCTCCTTCTGTCAGCTCCAGCTCCCCATGCGGGGACAAGAGAAAAGCCTCCCACAGGGATGGTAGAATATCAAAACATCTGGGTGAGCTCCCTCTGTCAGCTCCAGCTCCCCAGACTCCCAGAAGGATGGTAGAATATCAAAAAATCTGGGTGAGCTCCCTCTGTCAGCTCCAGCTCCCCATGCAGGGACAAGAGAGAAGCCTCCCACAAGGATGGTAGAATATCAAAACAACTCCCTCTGTCAGCTCCAGCTCCCCATGCGGAGACAAGAGAGAAGTCTCCCACAAGGATGGTAGAATATCAAAACATCTCGGTGAGCTCCCTCTGTCAGGTCCAGCTCTCCATGTGGGGACAAGAGAAGCCTCCCACAAGGATGGTAGAATATCAAAACATCTGGGTGATCTCCCTCTGTCAGGTCCAGCTCCCCATGTGGGGACAAGAGAGAAGCCTCCCACAAGGATGGTAGAATATCAAAACATCTGGGTGAGCTCCCTCTGTCAGCTCCAGCTCCCCATGCGGGGACAAGAGAGAAGCCTCCCACCAGGATGGTAGAATATCAAAACATCTGGGTGAGCTCCCTCTCTCAGCTCCAGCTCCCCATGTGGGGACAAGAGAGAAGCCTCCCTCAAGGATGGTATAATATTAAAACATCTGAGTGAGCTCCCTCTGTCAGCTCCAGCTCCTCCTCCTCCTTCTCTCTCTCTCTCTCCAAAGATGTCTTCTTTCCTGCTTATTCCATTGCTGGGCAAAGGAATAGGTGCATCCAAGGCTGATGGAGTGATATCTACTGCTACTTGCGTCTGCATCCAAGACTTGAGCAGGAAAGATGAAGGAATCCTGACTATATTTAGTTTCCAGGTGACCAGTGCAATTGCAATTGCAATTGCAATTGGACCTCACCAATTGCAAGATATTTGGTATCATAGAGCTGTTGGCTTGAGATTGGTTTTGAGCCATTGAAATCTCCCTCCTCCACAAATGTTGAGGAATGCTGGTGGCTTCTCTGACACCACCTGTGCCCAGTGGCAATGTCCAGTTTTGTCACTGGGACTGCACAGTCTCCAAGACCACCTCCTGGGCAGCCAATGTAGGGCTGGCAGCTGGGATCCAACCGGTCCTTGAAGAAGATGGCATCATGGCTCTTGGTCATTTCCTTCCTTGCGCTTGAGATGTTCTCAAGCCACTTAAATCTCCCAAAAAACAAGGCATGTTTGGGAATATTTCCCTGCTGGGATGGGTACTCTGGGAGTTGTAGTTTTACAAGGCATTTAGTCTTCTCTGCTCAAGATTGCTAGTGCCTCTCCAAACTACAACTCCTAGAAGTACTTTGGCCACATCATGAGAAGAAAGGAAAGTTTAGAGAAGACAATGATGCTGGGGAAAATGGAAGGAAAAAGGAAGAAGGGATGACCAAGGACAAGTTGGATGGATGGTCTCCTTGAAGTGACTGGGTTGACCTTGAAGGAGCTGGGGGTGGTGACGGCCAACACGGAGCTCTGGCCAGGGCTGGTCCATGAAGTCACAAAGAGTCGGAGATGACTGAACGATTTTTTTTTGTCATGTCAGATCAACCAGTCAATTATATTACATTTCTAACAGAACAAAGCAAACAAACAGATAAAATACAACATTTGTGAGTTTGGTAGTTGATTAGATGTCCTTTGACCAGTATCTGGCCCCTTGGAGTGCTTCTGGTGTGGCCGCAAGAAGGTCCTCCTTAGTGCACGTAGCAGGGCTCAAGTTGCATTGCAGCAGGTGGTCAGTGGTTTGCTCCTCTCCACACTCGCATATCGAGGATTCCACTTTGTGGCCCCATTTCTGAAGGTTGGCTCTGCATCTCGTGGGGCCAGAGCGCAGTCTGTTCAGCGCCTTCCAAGTCGCCCAGTCTTCTGTGTGCCCAGGGGGAGTCTCTCATCTGGTATCAGCCATTGATTGAGGTTCTGGGTTTTAGCCTGCCACTTTTGGACTCTGGCTTGCTGAGGTGTTCCAACGAGTGTCTCTGTAGATCTTAGGAAACTATTTCTAGATTTAAGTCGTTGACGTGCTGGCTGATACCCAAACAGGGGATGAGCTGGAGGTGTCTCTGCCTTGGTCCTTTCACTCTTGGCTGCTACTTCCTGGCAGATGTCAGGTGGTGCAATACCGGCTAAGCAGTGTAATTTCTCCTGTGGTGTAGGGCGCAGGCACCCTGTGATAATGCGGCATGAACGAATGAACAACAACAACAACAACAACAACAACAAGTCATGGCAGGCCTGTTTCCTTCTGCCTTCAGGACAATGGGTTCAAATGGCAGGAAGTAGATTCCATGCGGACATGAGGAATAACCTTTGGCAGAGAGGGGTGGACTGGATGGCCTCTGGGGTCTATGATTCTAAGTGGTGTCAAATTGCATTAAATCTACAGTGTAGATGCAGCCAAAGTGAGAAAACCAGGAGGAAAGAGTGGACGGTTGACTGAACTGGACCCTGGCTTTGTGTGACACCTTTCAAGGAGGTTCAAGGACATGGCATGCAAAGCATAGGAAAACACTCGAGGGGTGGCCATGGCAAACCTAGGAACAGCGTAGGAAGGCAAACAGTATGTGTGCTAAATAAATATTTATAGCTTTCTTTTAAAACTGTTTCTGCTTTCCTGTTTGGCTGTTTGGCAAGTCTGTTTGTTCTCAGTGTTAACTTTCAATGGCTTCACCTGTTAACGTTTTGCCAGGGTGGCAATTAATTGTATTGACCACATAGATACATGTGTTTACACCATAGAGATGCAATGCGTAGAAACACAGGCTCCTAGAGATGCAGGACACCCCAAAGGCCATCTGCCAGACAGAAAGACACTATCTGAGCCCTCCCCACAGATGGCCATCTAAACAATGCTCCAAAACATCTAGAGAAGGAATATTCCACCGGATGGATACCCCAAAGGCCATCCAGTCCAGCCCCTTCTGCCAGACAGAAAGACACTATCTCAGCCCTCCTGACAGACAGCCATCCAAACGATGCTACAAAACATCTAGAGAAGGAGATTCCACCGGATGGACACCTCAAAGGCCATCCAGTCCAGCCCCTTCTGCCAGACAGAAAGACACTATCTGAGCCCTCCCCACAGATGGCCATCTAAACAATGCTTCAAAACATCTAGAGAAGGAATATTCCACTGGATGGACACCCCAAAGGCCATCCAGTCCAGCCTCTTCTGCCAGACAGAAAGACACTATCTGAGCCCTCCCGACAGACAGCCATCTAAATAATGCTTCAAAACATCTAGAGAAGGAATATTCCACCGGATGGACACCCCAAAGGCCATCCAGTCCAGCCCCTTCTGCCAGACAGAAAGACACTATCTGAGCCCTCCTCACAGATGGCCATCCAGACGATGCTTCAAAACATCTAGAGAAGGAATATTCCACCGGATGGATACCCCAAAGGCCATCCAGTCCAGCCCCTTCTGCCAGACAGAAAGACACTATCTGAGCCCTCCTCACAGATGGCCATCCAGACGATGCTTCAAAACATCTAGAAGAGGAGATTCCACCGGATGGACACCCCAAAGGCCATCCAGTCCAGACCCTTTGGCCAGACAGAAAGACACTATCTGAGCCCTCCCGACAGACGGCCATCCAGATGTGCTTCAAAACATCTAGAAGAGGAGATTCCACCGGATGGACACCCCAAAGGCCATCCAGTCCAGCCCCTTCTGCCAGACAGAAAGACACTATCTGAGCCCTCGCGACAGACAGCCATCTAAATAATGCTTCAAAACATCTAGAGAAGGAATATTCCACCGGATGGACACCCCAAAGGCCATCCAGTCCAGCCCCTTCTGCCAGACAGAAAGACACTATCTGAGCCCTCCCCACAGATGGCCATCCAGACGATGCTTCAAAACATCTAGAAGAGGAGATTCCACCGGATGGACATCCCAAAGGCCATCCAGTCCAGCCCCTTCTGCCAGACAGAAAGACTCTATCCAAGCCATCCCCACTGTTGGACATACAGATGATGCTTCAAAACATCTAGAGAAGGAGATTCCACCGGATGGACACCCCAAAGGCCATCCAGTCCAGCCCCTCCTGCCAGACAGAAAGACTCTATCCAAGCCATCCCCACTGTTGGCCATACAGATGATGCTTCAAAACATCTAGAGAAGGAGATTCCACCGGATGGACACCCCAAAGGCCATCCAGTCCAGACCCTTTGGCCAGACAGAAAGACACTATCTGAGCCCTCGCGACAGACAGCCATCTAAATAATGCTTCAAAACATCTAGAGAAGGAA